GAATTTCATATATCGGTTCCACGTACGGGTACTTAAATATGTGGCCCATACAATTGGCTAACTGGTTCAAAATGTTAACGTGATGCTTCAAGCTTAACCGTGTCACTATTATGTGTTGTTTTTTCATCCGACTCATCACGTAGAGGCTCAAATTTACCGATCAGATTGCTCTCAGGCTCTAAGATTGATCGGACCACTCTCATTTGAAATAGGCATGCTATGTTTAAAATTGTTTTTACTAGTTTACACGCCGTGCAACGTTTGCAACGGCTCCGCAACTCTTTCCTCGAGGCCACAACAACCTCATCTAAATAATAGTATGTCTGGGCCGGGCATGTTTCCCAGACCTCGTCGTCGTGGGCGATTTATAGACGCGTTAAGCGCCACGCTTGAGTCTAAATCGTCGTCACTATTATCGATACGAAGTTTCTCCGGCTGTTTCGACATTAATATTCTTATATGTCGATCATAACGATGAGATTGAAAAATAAATTTATCAATCTCATCCAAAGTGGGAGATTGGGCAGACTCCTGCGCGCGAACTGAATCGTTGCTTGGACTCGAGGTACGCGCGATGGGCGCGCATACCAAGCCCCTCGAACACCGCTGGAGGCCGCGCTGTTAAACATTTGCTATATTATTTTCGTGTAACCGACCTGAATGGCGTAGTGGGTAGCTTTCCTGCCTCCAGCGCCAGAGGGTGTGGGTTCGATCCCCACTACTAGAAAAATATTGTGTAATGAACATAATGGTTTTCTAGTGTCAGGGTGTTTATAAATGTTTAGTATGTATTTATTTACAAAAGAAAAGTATGTTTAAGTAGGTTTATCAGTTTTCTAGTACCCATAGTACAAGCTTTGCTTAGCATGGGACTAGAAAACGTTGTGTAAAAATCATTTTCGTGTTTGTATTAAAGAGAGATTGTACACTATTAAAAAGTTAGTATTTCAATCTATAATTTACTGGCTAGCGTATACGCTAGTGATATAAAAAACTTTAACTCAAGTGCTAGAAACATCTTCACAGTTTCATATCAATCTTATCTAACATGGGCGAAAATTAAAGTTATCTGATTGAACTAGTGCGAGACCTATTCTGCTTTAATGGATACTCTGTCATATATATATATATGTATATATAGAGTTGTCATTCGATTCGGACGGGCATGTAGATTGCTTTTGAGAAAATGCTAAGGCCGCTCGCAAAAATTGCAATAGTTATAAACAATTAAGTGAATAAAAGGGTGTTTGATTTTTAGCCGATATCTCAAAAACTATTTGAAAAAATGTCCCGACTTCCGGAACTGCAGGACCAATATTTATAATTTTCCCAGAGGGTTGAAAATACGCCCAAAAACGAGTACTATGGCTTGCACTAGCCACGCCCCCTTCGGACCTTTAATGAATAAATATATTTTAAAAACTTATTATATATGAAAATTAAAAATTGAAAAAATTTAGGCGCCTGCAGGATAAATCAATGAATAATAATCCGCGGTCCAAAAATTTTTATCGCGATTTTTCAATAAGTTATTCTTTAGTTAATTAACAATTTTTTGTATGACAAACATTAACATTGCAAGTGCGATATTTGTTAAACTATTGATCTGAGAATATTTTGCTTTCTTGGAGCTATTTTTCAAAGATCTTAGAATAGATTCCCGTCGGAAAAATTAAACACATTTCTGCTCGACTAACACTGCGGCCGCGGTGCGGGATGATATTCTTTATAATTTCATGAGAAGGCACCACCGGTTGGCCTTCTGCCAGCCGAGGTACAGCCCGATCAATGTCAAAACACAAATGATCATTGCAGGGAAGTGAACGGCACCGTTAACTTATTTTAAGAAAAAAACCTCTGTCCGATGGGAAAAGTCAAACTGCCTATTTACTGAATTTGAATTTAATAAATTCAGTGTCATGTATTTTATTTTAGATAAGTAAGTAGAATTATTTTGGTTTTTGGTCCCTAAATATATAGATTAATAAAAATAAATTGAATTTCTAAAATAAAATTAGCCTAAGTTACTCCTTATTACATCAGTTTTCAGCCAGTGAAATTCCGTCAAAATAGTACCAGCCGTTTCGGACATTAGCCAGAACAAGCAGACAAACAGACAAAAGTTGTAAAAAATGTTATTTTGGTATAAACATACCGTATTCATCAATATGCATTTAGTAAAAAGCGGTAATTGTAATAAAACAAACAGACACACCAATTTTATTATATACTATAGAAATTTGGTCAATATAAGCAGTAGTGTAAATACGATGTACAATTACACTTACCTTTCCACATCACATCAAAGGGCAGAATGAACTTCACGTAAATCTGATCATCTCGTCGGCCTTTGGGATTTCTGTGAGACGCATTTCTTCGACCTCTATGCTCCAGAGCTTATTCTCTAAGACCCCCTGGGGCCACCCTGCAGGTAAACGTTATCATATAGTTTCGGCAGATTTATTTCAACGCCAACCATCTGAATTTAAGTAAGAAATATAAGTAATATGTATAAAATTTTACTTCATGCAGGGTAGTCTTTAAAAATCTTCTTACTAGAAAATCTTCTTACAGATAGGATTTGATGGAGGACAACATTCTACATGGGTCCAGCCCAATCTAAAGATAAGGTACACGTACTGGTTGGTCACCATTAAGCGCACGTCGTTCTTTAAAGTATACCGCTTTGAACCGGTGGGTTCGAAACAATTGGGCAGAATTATCCTGTAAAAAGGTATAATCCACTGTAATATCGATCGAATATTATTGGTCTTATATTTATCTTCGGTGTCGCAAGTTACCTGAAACTCCTCACCCGTTGAACAGAACACCAGAGCTTCAAGTATTTCACCTGTTACATTCGAAAAGTCGCTGTGATTCCTCCACATAATCTATCTGTGCTGATGACGGATGTAGATACTCCGGATCCGTTTCTTGTTAACATCAACCTGTGACCCAGATGGTTGAGAAGAGATGGGTGCGAGCGTTCGACACCCATTACTCGTGTTGATGGCTGAGAACCTTCAACCATTACTCGTTTGATTGTTGGTTTTTTTGGCGACTGAGAAATAGATGGCTGCAAATTCTTCGGCTAGTTTTCACGTGATCCCTGAGAATTTGATGCTACAGCCTTTCTCTAGCATCGGCGGCAGAGAAGCAGCTCACGTACTTGCTCTAGATTCCAGGTAGGCACCAGGCGCTCTTGAAGCCTTTATAAACTGAGCTATTTCGCTGGGGTTTCTTATTAATTTTATAACGGTGATAGGCCGCTATCGTTTCCGTTACGACATCCTCTATCGACATTTCTAAAGAATGGTTGAAAAAGAAAAAGCCAGTCGGAATTTCATATATCGGTTCCACGTACGGGTACTTAAATATGTGGCCCATACAATTGGCTAACTGGTTCAAAATGTTAACGTGATGCTTCAAGCTTAACCGTGTCACTATTATGTGTTGTTTTTTCATCCGACTCATCACGTAGAGGCTCAAATTTACCGATCAGATTGCTCTCAGGCTCTAAGATTGATCGGACCACTCTCATTTGAAATAGGCATGCTATGTTTAAATTGTTTTTACTAGTTTACACGCCGTGCAACGTTTGCAACGGCTCCGCAACTCTTTCCTCGAGGCCACAACAACCTCATCTAAATAATAGTATGTCTGGGCCGGGCATGTTTCCCAGACCTCGTCGTCGTGGGCGATTTATAGACGCGTTAAGCGCCACGCTTGAGTCTAAATCGTCGTCACTATTATCGATACGAAGTTTCTCCGGCTGTTTTCGACATTAATATTCTTATATGTCGATCATAACGATGAGATTGAAAAATAAATTTATCAATCTCATCCAAAGTGGGAGATTGGGCAGACTCCTGCGCGCGAACTGAATCGTTGCTTGGACTCGAGGTACGCGCGATGGGCGCGCATACCAGAAGCCCCTCGAACACCGCTGGAGGCCGCGCTGTTAAACATTTGCTATATTATTTTCGTGTAACCGACCTGAATGGCGTAGTGGGTAGCTTTCCTGCCTCCAGCGCCAGAGGGTGTGGGTTCGATCCCCACTACTAGAATATTGTGTAATGAACATAATGGTTTTCTAGTGTCAGGGTGTTTATAAATGTTTAGTATGTATTTATTTACAAAAGAAAAGTATGTTTAAGTAGGTTTATCAGTTTTCTAGTACCCATAGTACAAGCTTTGCTTAGCATGGGACTAGAAAACGTTGTGTAAAAATCATTTTCGTGTTTGTATTAAAGAGAGAATTGTACACTATTAAAAAGTTAGTATTTCAATCTATAATTTACTGGCTAGCGTATACGCTAGTGATATAAAAACTTTAACTCAAGTGCTAGAAACATCTTCACAGTTTCATATCAATCTTATCTAACATGGGCGAAAATTAAAGTTATCTGATTGAACTAGTGCGAGACCTATTCTGCTTTAATGGATACTCTGTCATATATATATATATATATATATATAGTCATATTCGGAGTTTGTCATTCGATTCGGACGGGCATGTATTGCTTTTGAGAAAATGCTAAGGCCGCTCGCAAAAAATTGCAATAGTTATAAACAATTAAGTGAATAAAAGGGTGTTTGATTTTTAGCCGATATCTCAAAAACTATTTGAAAAAATGTCCCGACTTCCGGAACTGCAGGACCAATATTTATAATTTTCCCAGAGGGTTGAAAATACGCCCAAAAACGAGTACTCTGGCTTGCACTAGCCACGCCCCCTTCGGACCTTTAATGAATAAATATATTTTAAACTTATTATATATGAAAATTAAAAATTGAAAAAATTTAGGCGCCTGCAGGATAAATCAATGAATAATAATCCGCGGTCCAAAAATTTTTATCGCGATTTTTCAATAAGTTATTCTTTAGTTAATTAACAATTTTTTGTATGACAAACATTAACATTGCAAGTGCGATATTTGTTAAACTATTGATCTGAGAATATTTTGCTTTCCTGTATTTTCTATAGGATACGTTGAGAATTTCATCTGTGAGTTTTTTTTTTTATGTATGGAACATACACTTCAATGGTTATGCAATATCATGTACATAAAAGATTATGTCGATAGTTATTCGCAAGAACGAACATTAAAATTTTAAATTACTTACTCGGAGAGGTTTGAGGAATAATTTTTCGCCCCGCGGCGGTGATGCGAAGGCGCTCTACGTTGACAGCTGAGTCTTCGTCGTCACTATCATCTAAACGTGAAATGTGCGTGTTTAATACACAAAATGTATTTTGCGATAACTTGCGGAACGTTAGAAACTTCGCGGGCGAACTCTGTTGTAGGTAGTATTAGGAAATAATATGATAGTCTTAACGGAAGTAAAGATAATCTACCCTTCTAAGATAATGTGTACAATTACGAAGTACAAATGCATGTGTAAAATAAACAGTCGTAACATAGATGCCGTTTTACTTGTACCTTATATTACTACATGGTATCAGGTGTGGCAGATTATTGTCAAAGTCCGTTTGGTGTGCAATTTTACTTACACTGAAGAGAATTAGACAATTTGGTTTTGTTACCAAAAACAAAAAATTGTGAAGAATGCCTAACAATAAAGAAGAAAGTGTGGCGTATACTTCGATACAACAACCGTTGCGGTTAGCTCGGGAAGGCAATATAGCAACATATTGTCGGGAATGAAAATCGGCGTTTGACTATTTTCTAATCGCTTCTGGAAGAGAGACGGCCCAAGCAAGAGAGAAGTGTGCACTATTTATGCATGTTATCGGAAAAAACGGTGGTGATATTTATGAGGAGTTAGACATAAATGAAACGGAAAAGTATGATTTTAAAATATTATGTCAAAAATTTAACGAGCATTGCGATCCAAAAATAAATATTAACTACGAAAGGCATATATTTTTTGAAAGTTAGTTTTAGAATCACAGACTTAATACTAGATTGCTAGGTATGGCTAGGTTTCATTTTTAGAAAATAATTTTTTATACCAGTTTTTAGGGAATGAAAAATATCATTCAAATATAACGGTAAATTTCACCGAAAAAGAAAATGTTGTAATAGCTCGGTCGGTATTCGGGCGGCCCCCAAACAGAAGGCCGTGGTTCGCCACGTTCTGTTTGGGACACGAATGTCACGATCATTTATTTACACACTTTTTTTGTAGGTTTTTCGATTCCAGATCATTGCTTTCTTTATTTTTTATTTTTGTCGATCCAGATGATTTTGTTCTTTTTTCTTTTTTTTAAAGTTCTTTCTTTTGTGAAAAACACCAGTTCATGTTTTCTAATTATTACGTCGGTGAGATTGAAACATGTTATGCATATTTAATTACTTAGTAATTTGTATCTAAATGTAATTTCCAAAATACACGATTTACCAAAAAAAAAACAAATGGAGCAAAGCTCGGTCCTCTAGGTACTTATAATTAATATCATTCATATATTATATGGAAATTATTTATATATTCCAAACTAAAACAGAATTCTATTTTTTTAATGTTCATTAGGGAGAATAAGGATAGGGCGAAATAATTTATTAATGTATCAATTATAATGATTACATGCATGTGTTGATTACATGTGTGATTACATGCCGTGGTCGCTTTCGCACTGCAAATGGGGGCGACAGTGTGGATTCGGCAGCGCCTGGGATGACAAAGCAGCCCTATTTAGGGTGACACTGCTTTCCTCGCTCAGCCGGGGAGGGGGCTAGAAAAGGTGCCCTAAAAAAATGCTCGTTCCTACTTGAAAGGTGGTAGTAGCCACCGCTGCCATCGCATCAACCTAATTCGTGGTCGAAGTAACAGAAACAATAAAACGCCATAAAACCATCTGTTATGACATTAGGCGTGTGGAATGTGAGAACGCTAATTGATCGAGATGGCAACGCCTGCCCTGAACGTAAAACCGCCATAGTAGCTCGTGAACTTTATCGTTATGATGTGGATGTGGCTGCGCGCAGCGAAACCCATCTCCCTGATGAAGGAGAGCTGGTAGAAGATGGCGGCGGCTATACTTTTCTCTGGAAAGGTACCGCTTGCTCAGAACCTCGATTTTCAGGTGTAGGATTTGCCATCAAGAATCATTTAGTTAAGCGACTTGAGGAGTACCCTGTACACATTTCGGACCGCGTGACCACCTTGCGCTTTCACCTGGATAAGGACAATTTCCTTAATATCATCAGTGTCTATGCTCCAACGCTGGACAATTCTGATGATATCAAGGACAAATTCTATGATGAATTATCTCAATGCCTTAACAGCATAAGCTCCAGAGAGCAGGTCCAGGAGATTTCAATGCCAGGGTTGGTCGGGACTATGAGGCCTGGCCTGGAGTTCTGAGTAGACACGGAGTTGGCAAAATGAACAGTAATGGTCAGTTGCTACTCAGTTTTTGTGCTCAATACAAACTTGCAATAACGAACGCAATGTTCAGACTTTCCGCCAAGCACAAGACTACGTGGATGCACCCAAGATCCAAGCACTGGCATTTGATCGATTATGCGGTCGTACGGCAAAGAGATATCAGTCAAGACCAAATCACCCGCGTCATGCGCGGTGCACACTGCTGGACTGATCACCGACTTATTGTCACTAAACTGCGACTCCGCCTCCGTAGACCACGTAGATTTCAAATAAGAAAGCCTGCGTCTTTGAATGTAGATAGGTTAAAAATTCGCTAGTTCAGGGAGATCTATGCTAAAGCCTTATCTGGAAATATGTCGCCAGTTAGTGAGATTGGTGATATCAGCTCTGCTTGGAGTGCGTTGTATTCTCATCTCATGGAGACTGCCTCAGTTACTTTAGGTGTAAAACACCGACGTAATGAAGACTGGTTCGATGAGAATGACGAAGCTCTCAGAGCGGGGTTGGATAAGCACCGAGATCTTCTGCGAAAGCATACTAGACGAGGAGGAAGCGTTGCGGTGCTCAAAGAGAGTGACACTCAATTGGATAAGCTGTCTCAAAGATTAAATATAATCTCAAAGAATAAAGATAGGTGGTGGCAAGACAAAGTTTGTCATATCCAGTGGCTTTCTGACACAAAACAGCTTGGGAAGTTCTACACCGAGTTACGTAAACTGATTAAAACATCCCACAGAGTTAAAGTGCCTTTGGGGTCTTCAAACGGAACGCACTTACTTACACGCAAGGACGATGTGCTGAAGCGTTGGGCCGAACATTTTTATACATTGCTCAACGTAGATCGATTAGCTGATCTTCAGAATATTAGTTTGATGCCTCAACCCCCCCTAGCCACTGAGCTGGACCAGCCTCTGTCGCATGACGAGGTTGTAATTGTCATCAGACAGCAACAAAATCAACGGGCGGCTGGCATTGACCTTATACCAGGCGCGCTGCTTAAGTACGGCGGTGAGGACTTGCACACTTTGGTGTGGGAACTATTTCTTCGTATGTGGGAGGAGGAACGAGTCCCGAATGATTTCAAAGTGTCCAAAGACAGCCCCAGGAAAGGTCTTTGCAAGAGCCCTTTTAAACCGCCTGAAACTTTTGTCGGAAAAGATTTTGCCTAAAACCCAGTTTGGCTTCCGGCCTGACCGAGGCACCTGTGAAGCTATCTTCTCTGTGCGCCAACTCCAAGAAAAAAGTAGAGAACAGGGACGTCAGCTATATCTCTGCTTTGTGGACTGTGGATGGTGCTAGGAAGGCTGGGGTGTATGGAAAAGTTTGTGAGACTTCTGAGACTTCTGCATGACGATATGCAATGCTGCGTCTCCGTAGACGGTGAACAGTCAGATTTTTCCCCCGTTACCTGTGGAGTGAAACAAGGGTATGTCTTAGCGCCCACACTGTTTGCCCTTTATTTTGCAGTAGTAGTCAAAGAGGTCTTACAAACGGTTTCCGAAGGAGTTCGCATCCGCTTCCGAACAGATGGCAGTCTTTTCAACCTGGCCAGGCTTAAGGTGCGCACCAAAGTCTCGTATGCATTAATTACAGAGATTATGTATGCTGATGACTTATACTTTTTAGCAGAATCTCCACAAGGCCTACAAAGGCTGATGTCTGTCTTCCACCAAGCATGCTGTATGTTCGGTTCAATATTGAACCCAACAGCTTTGTTTGCACTTTTTACCTAAAGTCCATCAATACGTTGCATTAAAATATACCGCGACAATCAATCAGTTCATGTTCGGTCATCAAACAAACCACGCGTTCTCAAAATATCATACCTAATTACCATAATTATCATAAATATCATATCATATTATCAGTATAATTTTAACTGTATCAATTTAGTAATAGTGTTCTTATCAGTACTATTATCATTTATCATCATATCCGGCTCGAAAGACCAAAACGATGTTGGGGCTAACTCCTAACACCGGAAATGGAATTTCCGTATTTAATGGGAACTATCAAAACTGGATATCATTTAAAGATTTATTTCAAGAGGCCATCCATAATAATCTATCTCTTTATAACGCTCAAAAAATGCATTATTTAAAGAGCAAAGTTACGGGTGAAGCGGAACGCCCAATACATCATTTACAAATTACGTCAGATAATTATATTGTATGCTGGGAGATATTAAATCATAGAAAATATGACAAGAAACTTATTTCCTCAACTCACGTAAATATTTTATTAAGATTACCTAATATACAGCATCAATCACTAAATCATATCAAAAACTAGCATGACGTCACAAAGGAGTGTCTTCATGCGATACAAAACTTAGGTATAAACATCAGTACATGGGATCCGCTCCTGGTACATCTGTTAGCACAAAAATTAGACAACGAATCCTACAGTGAATATATCGAGTCAGTCTACCAATAATATCAAGATCTGTTCTTCAGTATTACATTATCCTGTTCTCATTATATAATTTATAACAACTTTCCTTTGTCTAGTGTAATGGGACATTTTTAGGAGATTGATTCCATGTCACTGATTGATGACTCCGTGGCGCAGTCGCCAAGGTATCGGCTTCGGCGTCGGGGGTCGTGGGTTCGATTCCCACACGGGACAACTATTTGTGTGACCCATAGATAGTTGTTCGGCATCTGGGTGTTTGTCCGCGTGAAATTTATGTTTGTAAAACGTCCTTACAACACAGGATAATGTTATCCCAAAGTAAAGTATTGAAATTAGGGTAAATCTATTGTGTTTTATGTCAGCTATATGTTCTGCTGACATTTAGCTGACATAAAACACAATAGATTGAACAAGTCTGCAGTTTGTGAGCACATTTTGAATAGGCCCAACCACTACATCAGGTTTGACAAACCACAGATCCTTGCAAAAGAACACCGATTCCTCCCAAGGATGATTCGCGAGGCTATTGAAATTAAAAAACACCCTAATTTCAATAGAGAAGAAGGTTGGGTACTACCATCAGCTTGGGATCCTGTCATCAATAAAATTAAATCTAGGCCCAAACGAACCACTACTGCAAGACAAGATACAATTAGCTCCCTCTGCATAGATCGGACACAAAATTAATAACTCAAAAACTGACGGTAGCCCGGGTTAACTATGACAATCAGACGTCTAACACCTCAGTCTGTCCCGTGACCATGAACGCTGTAAAGGGTTCGAAACGTCGGGAATTAAAATTAAAATTAAAAATAAACGCGATAAATCCGTAAAATTAGTTTCATTTATAAGGGATAAGCAATTTATGATTGTATGTTGTGATGGCTGTATTGTGGAATGTCTTAGATATCTGGTCATATTTTATGTGTATCTTCGCATTGTAATTAAATATTTACAGCTTATTGCTGTAATTGGATAATAGTTTTCATTAATTGCTTGTCATTATTTGTGATAACTCTATTCTGACTGTGCTAGCGATCATTATTATGACTATGGCTTCTTTTGTTATTTACACATAACTCCCTTTCCCAACGTGTCGGAAAGCCAGTAGCCCACCGAATCAGGAAGCAAATTAATGACCATACCTGCGACCGATAAATAATTGTTGACTAAAGTAAAGTAAAGTAACAGCCTATACATGTCCCACTGCTGGGCAAAGGCCTCCTCTATACAGAGGGTATCAGGGCATAGTCCACCACGCGGCCCCACTGCGGATTGGCGGACTTCACATATTTTCGAAATATATTTTTTTTGTTATTATTTCGAAAATATGCAGGTTTCCTCACGGTGTTTTCCTTCACCGCGGAGCACGTGATAAGTCAGCACTTAAAGTTAAAAACTTCATTGGTGCCGGCACCGGGGATCGAACTCAGGTTGCTCGAGTATATTGAATTAAAGGCGAGCGCCCGGACACTGAGCTATTGTTGACTAGGAAAGGGAAAATTACTTCCACCATATTCCCATGTATATGAGTCAAATAATTTTTGGCGTTTTTTTGTATTTTTGCCTTTTATTTTGCCGATAACCATTACCATTTGCCTGGATAAAATTGCTACCTAAGCAATAAGGCCGCCTATATGTTAACTTTGTTTCCTGTATTTTCTTTATATGTATTATTCTGTACTTACTTGTGTGCAATTAAGTATATTTTATTCTACTCCATTCTCGAAGGCATTTAAGGTTCGCAAGAAAGCACTAACAGTTTCGAATTCCTATAGCCTATGAGTCAGTCCCTTCTTGCCCTGCAATAAAGGGTTGATGACAAAATACTAAATACCTTATTCGTCATTCTATGACGAATACGGTATTTATAATAGCCTACATTAGTTAAAGTGAAAACATTACCTTAAATATTGCACCTAAAAACTGCTTACATTGGTTTTGGGGTAGTGTTACATTTGAAAAGCAATTGATTAAACAATCAAAACCAAACAATAAGTTAAAAACTTTCTTTAGGGTACTCACAACGCAATAGAGGCACGACATCGGAGTCCGAGGAGGTGTCTTCTGGCGCTTGCAGAGCAGGTCGAACACCAGAGGGACCCGCCTCTTCCAAATCTCTGATGCTGATATCTGTTGCTATAGGTGAAAGGAGATGTTAAAAAAGAATATCGTTCAACGGATACAAATAAAAATTATAGTTTCAATGTATTGTTGCAAGTCAAACAAACTTGAGTTAACTTTTTATTGTTTTGTTTTGTATTTAACTGATGAGCAACTTGCGCACATATTTATTTATAATAATTTAATAAAGTTTTAGGTTGTGTAGTGTGTATTAAACTATGAAAGTAATTAAACTATTATATTATTGAATTATTATATTAAACTTGCTAATATTTAGTGGAACTGATGAACTTAATAAAGTCAGCAGTTCTGCTGCCTTTTATTTAATAACTTCAAAGTAAAATTTCCTATAAATATAATATAGACCTTGTAATAATTCACACTTTAAAAAATTTAAATTTCGACGAACTCTCTCGTGCGAATTATCGTTGTAAAACGATATTCGAAATTGTATGCTGGAAGGGATATAACAACGGATGCGTCAAGCATTGCTTCAAAAAGCTAAAAACAATGCTAAAAGACGCTAAAATTTTCATTGGTGCGGCAATCAGCCGTTTAGCTTAGTGGCTAAAGCGTCAGGCCGCGAATGCCGAAGACGTGGGTTCGACTCCCACAGCGGCGACAATCTTTTCGTACTTTTTGGAGAAAAAGTTTCGTACCTTTCGTACCGTTTGATAACATACAAGTTGGTATTTCTAAGTGGGAGGGGTTTCTAAGTGTATCCATGTTTTTTAATTAAATTCTAGACATAAATAATGTTTTACAAAAAATGATAAATACTTAAAATCACGCGTATCTAACAAATTACATTCATTTTAAATTATCTCAAAAAGTGTGTAGTTTATAGGCAACTCATTTATTTCACGCGCATGAGTGAGGTAGCCGGAGCCCGATTTTTCAAAAGTTTGTCGACGCATCTGCAACCCTCGGGTGTGGCAGATGTCTATGGGCGGCGGTATTCACTTAACATCAGGTGAACCACCTGATGTTAAGTGAATAAAAGAAAAAAAACTACAGCATTGTCAACAACTTCTGCTTTTTAGTGAATGGAATGGCAATGTTTTACGGCCAGTTTCAATATTCTATATACAGATAAATTACTGGAGACATAATTCAGACGTACGTATTATGACGAGCTAACGTTGAATACCTATCGCTAGTAACCAAATCCATCCGTAGATTGAATATTGAAACTGGCAGTTAGCTGATCGCAGTAACAGATAGACTGAATTACTTTGAGAGTGGTATTCTGACGTATAAGCTAACATATATGTAACACATATGGTAAACTTATACATCAGAATACCACTCTCTCAATTTTGAAAAGTTTCATTAAAATCCATTCCAGAAAAAATTATAAAGCACATTAAAATGTCAACCTTAACTACTATATAATCAAAAAATTTATGCCTGGAGGTATGCCCGGATACGTTTTCGAGTGTTCGCTTGTTGTTGTGGCATTATCATCAACAGCAGCAACGGCCATTACGGGCGCTCTTACTGCACTTTCAGACGCCGGACCTGTAAAAATATACTTGGTGAAGTCTGGCGTAAAGTTTAAAGTTGTTAGAGTTTGTTAATTCACAAATTTTGGTTTAAATTTTAATAACAACGATTATTCAAAGTACGACATTTTCTGTTGATTTACTAGAAAATCAATAGCTAAATAAGCGATTAGACTATACGATAATTTGGCCCTTTTTCAATGATAATTTTATCAAAAAACACGTTTACGTTTGAAAGATCTTGTATCTTGTATTAAGTGATGTTTTTGCTTTCAGTCCCGAGACTATTAAAGCTTCATCTGACGCCAAACCGGTGGGCTAGCCAGAACCCACGGGCTTGGGCCCTCCGCTGTGGGTAGGGCCGCGCATGTTCATGCGTGCGTTTAACTATGGTATGCCAACTAAGGGCCATCGAGGTTGCGGTTCGGACCGGGACCCCGATGGCTGTCGACTGTATTTTTAGCTAATCGGTGGCTGGGGGCGGTGAGAACCGCCCTGAAACGCGGGTGTACCTTGTGTACGCGTTGTGTTGGTCTCGCCGTGCTCTGAGGCGAGGACGAACTATTGTGTTTGTTGTTACACTAGCTGTGGGTGTAGTGTTATCCGGCGGGACCACCGACGGTGGGTCCGACGTATCTAAGTCCCCTTCCTCAACCGGGTCGATGATGACGTTTCGCGGGCGACGCTTGTTGACGTTCGCGTTTGTGTCGACGCGTTTGCAGGACAGCTTTCTCGACCGGTAAGGGTTTATGGCAATTTAACGTCATGCCCATCGGATTGTGCAACGCACCTGCCACATTTGAGCGACTCATGGAGTGTGTACTGGCAGGCTTAGTTGGAGAGGCTTGCTTAGTCTACTTATATGACGTCATCATTATCGGTCGTGACTTCGTGAACCATCTGCGAAACTTGGAGCGACTTTTCACCAAAATAGAGGGAGCCAAATTAAAGTTGAACGCGAAAAAGTGTCGTTTATTCAAAAGCAAGTTCAATTTATGTTACGGACATGTTATCTCCAGTGCTGGAATCCAGACAGACCCGGAGAAACTGGAAGCAGTTCAAAAATGGCCTATCCCTAAGGACAAAACCGAAATGCGGGCATTCCTCGGCCTATGCTCATACTACAGGCGTTTTGTTAAGGGATTTTCAGAGATAGCAAAGCCATTACATCGGCTGACAGAAGATAAACGACAATTTAGTTGGAGGCAATGCAAGGCAATGCAAGGACTTGCGAAGATTCTTTTCAGAAACTGAAGAAACATGTGTGAAACACCAATCCTGGGGTATCCACAAACTGAAGGTCGATTTAGAGTCGACACGGATGCAATGCATTCTTCGTGTTTATGTCGAGTAACATTGTCATAAAGCTGTTTTGAGTCCATATGATCATACTTCTGTCAGGATCAAATCTCCTACATCCTCCTTCCAACTGACCCCTTCTTTTCCATAATATCCGGGGGGAATACCCCGTATTTATCCGATAAGCCAAAAAAGGACTAGAATAACTGAAAAGCGTGTATTCTACTAAAATATACTAAATATTTGTTCGTTGATAATTCTGTTGCCAGTACCTCAAAATCTACCAAAAAAGTAGAAATCTACTAAATCTGGTCACGCTGTCCGACGGTGGCGGTATATACGCTCGCGACAACCCGCCGGCCGAATAGGTACGAAGTTCCCCGAACGCTTACGGCGGCTCTTCCCGATCATGCCCGAATTGAAACGTATGATTTAGGCATTTTATACCAAATAATTCCTTGAGACAAATTTATTCTTTGTTTCTATGACCATAAGTTAAATAAATAATTGCGTAATAAGGTTATAATAAACAGTAATATTTATTTTGAATTACTTTTTTTTGATAATAGGGTTCTTTACGTTAGTAAAGATGGAGCTTATTTTAGACTGGTTAAATCTCAATTTAAAAAAACTGATTGCTAAAAAAAACATTTAAATGTTCCAATTCCAACCAAAGGTTCAATTCGTTTGATTCGACCGCGTCTCCTAAAGGAGGTCTGAACATAACTAATACCTATAGGTATTTTGATACTGGGTTTTAGCACCGGGTATACGGCGATACCCGTACCTTTGAGGCCGGATATAGAATGTTGCAGGTATATCTCATGCCTAGTTCAACGTGTGGAATTGGAAGAGAGCCGAAACAACGCTGCGGTGGCGCGGTGTTTCGGCCGTCGCGTTCGAATGAATTTTAATGAATTAAATTAATATTTACAAATAGCTTACTTCAATCAAAAATTAAAACAACAATTCTTTTTATTCATATATCCTACACCACTGATATTCATTTCATTAAGATTTGTTGATGTATTACGTTCATTTTTGGATTTGAATTTCTCTTTTA